TTTTACATGTCGCAGGTCGGAGGTGAACTGGGATATAAACTCGAGATGTCATAGTTCGCGCGGAGAGTAATTATCCTGTTTTGCTGATAAGGCTTTCGTTAGAGCTTTGTGGTTTGTAGAGACAGTAAAAGATGTACCTTCCAGCGTATGTCGAAAGTGCTTGATTACTAAATAAGCAGCTAATAATTCACTACCAAAGGTGCTATAGCGACACTGAGTAGGATTCAGTCGTTTCGAAAAGAATGCAAGGGGTTGTCATTCACCATGTACCTGCTATTGTAAAACTGTCCCGATGTCAACGTCTGAAACATCTGTCATGAGAGACATAAGGCGTCATTTTGGCGTCTGACTAAGAGTGTCTTGTCATTTAACGACTGTTCAACAGTTTCAAATGTTTTAACAGCTTCTGCGGGCAAATGGAATGAACGACTATTTCCACGTAAGCAGTCGGTTAACGGCTGCAGAACTCTCGCACAGTTCGGGATAAAACGCCGCAAAAATTGACGAGACCCGAAAATCGCCGTAATTTCGTAAAAGAATCTGGTAACGGATAGTCTTTGATAGCTTGTACATCGTCGGGGACTGGTCTGATTCCTTGGTTTTCAATTAAATGTCCGAGGAATTTCAGTGATTTCTTACCAAATTTGCATTTATCTAAATTTTTGGTCATGCCGTATTGGTGAAGTCTTTCAGACGCCGTCTTCACATCTGTCAAATGCTCGGTTTCGTCGGCGCTTGCAATTAGTAAGTCTTCAATGTATGCGTAGACAAAAGACAGGCCACGGAGTACTTGGTCGATGAGGCGCTGAAATGTCTGAGCGGCGTTAATCAGCCCGAAGGACATACGTACGAATTCGTATTAGCCGAATGACGTGGTGATAGCAGTTTTTGGAATGTCAATTGGGTGGATGGGAATATGATGGTACACTCTGACAAGGTCGATTTTGGAGAAAAAATTAACCTCTGGCCAGTTGCTGGCGAAATCGTGGATATGTGGTATGGGGTATCGATCAGGTACCGTTTGCTTGTTTAAGGATCGATAATCCCCACACGGCTGTATCTCATTAGGAGACTTTTTGGGTACCATATGCAGCGGAGAAGACCAAGAGCTGTTGGATGGTCGAATAATGCCCAGCTCTAACATTCTATCTGTGTTCTTGCGATTTTAAGTCGACGTGGTTCAGGGCGCCGGGGACGTGCAAAAACTGGTGGTCCATTGGTTTTAATGTGATGGACCACGCGATGCTTTAGTTCTGTTGCTCGGAAAGAAGGTTGCAGAAGATCAGAGAACTGATTTATCAAGTCGGTATATGGAGATGCTGGTGTGCGTGTGACCATAAAGTTCAGCGATGATGCACGTCTAATCGTACCAGCGGTGTGCGTTTTATTGAGCGAGTTTATTAGCTTAGGGCTTATCGGATCAACCAGCAGTTTGTGTTGCTGTAGAAAATCTATATCGAGGATTGGAAATGAAACGTCTGCAGTGATGAAAGGCCAAGTGTAGGTATTCTCCATACCAAAGTCCATAGTCATTCATTTACTTCCATATGTAATAATATTGGACTTGTTAATGGATTGTAGCGTAACTGCAGGGTCATGATGTTGACGTTCCTGCGTAGACGGAGGGAGAACACTCACCTCTGCTCCTGTGTCGACTAAGAATGTAGTACTGGTATTTCTATCTGTTACATAAAGCAAACGACTGTTAGATCGTAGATTGCCGACAGTAGAAGTTTTCATACATGACGATATATCTTTTGGTTTGGCCTGAATGTTGCAAGGTGAACGATACCGTCGTGCATTGCTTCCGTAACTACAGTGATACCAGCAAATATTATCATGATGTCGTGACGTGGCAGGTGACCGAGAAAGACGTCAACGAGATCAGCTTCTGGAACGTTTATCGATTTCTCTTCCCGCTACTGGGCTTTGCATATGTCTCATGAGTTGCGATGGGGTTTTATCACCTAGCTCTACATTGCTTAACAGACGATCGAATGCTTGCCTATCCGAAAGCGAAGTGCATCGAAGTACCTCTTCCTTCAACTTGTAATAAGGCGCTTAAGTACTGGGTTATAATAATGATAATTTTATTTTCATATAAACATAAATTTACATGAAAATGCATGCCATTTTTACAGGCACGATCAAGTATATTATAATGTCAGATCATAAATTGTCTACAAGTTAATAATGTTTCAACAGTTAAATATTTGATACATATATATAGTTGTACTCATTGTCTGAACCACGCCGTATAGTTATTGAATTGTACAGTTGTCCTCCAGGTTGAGCGGGAAAACTGACTTCGTTTCGTTTTCATCCCGTGGTTGTAGGCGTACGATAACCAACCAATATTGAGGTAAGTACAACGTTTACAAGGGATTGGAAGCTGTTTTAGAAAAGTTAAAGTGCTAAGGTGAAACATTAAAGTGTAATAGATTAAGTGAGTGAAATATATCATTAATAAACACATTTATATAGAAAACAGAATGGGGAAGTAATTAATCCTTATACCGACAACGTTCATTTGCAATGTATAATAAAACCAACATATTTCGTACTGTCATGATGTCCACTTTTGGCTTTAATACAATTATTTTCAAGCCAGTTGCCTTTATTTCATGCTTTTCTGTCTATTTGGTGCACAACCGTACCCTCCAGAGAATAGGAATAGAATAAGTCGAATCAAATTCATAAAGAGCTATAAAATGTTATGTTTAATGGAATATAATGAGGATCAAGTAAAGACGTTATTAGAAAATAAGTGAGACAAGATATTGTGAAGTGGTATTTAAAGATCTGACAATGGACAGCAAGTTAATTTATAAGATGCCCCATAAATCTGTGCAGATCCCGCGTGGTCGCATCTCAACAATAGGCTGAGCGAATGGTATATATTTAAAGGTAGAAGCATGATCTGTCAAGGCGTTCATTATTATCTTTTTCAGGATAAAGATCTAAGCCCTCATAAAAATCCGAAATATCTCGAGCCTTCAAATTGCATATTGCTGTTCCTGCAGAATGGGGGGATTCAACTTAGTGACCTGCACCATATCTACTGATCATCTAGCGCCACCCTTGAAAGTAAAGTCAACTGCCTGACATTTGGAAGGATTTAATATAAGACCATTCGACTTGGACCACTTGTTGATGTCCAACAGAAAGCTATTAAGTTTGGAGCTGTCAGACTCGGAAGTGATAGGCAGTGATACAGTCAGATCATCTGCATATTTGACAAAGTCAGTTTCGTTTGAATGAGGCAGGTTATGTAGGAAGAAAGAAAAAAGAAAAGGAGAGAGGACGGCACCTTGAGGAACACCGGCTTTTGTAAGCGAGGTAGAAGAAGATTTGCCATCATATACAGTATACTGCATTCTATCAGAAAAATAGGAATGCAACCAACTCTTAGCCCATGATCCTGTTTGTGTCAACGATAGCCTATTTAATAAAAGGCCCCTAGGTACAGAGTCAAAAGCAGATGTGTAGTCTAGGAGAGCACTACGAACACATTTGGCACCTTTGTCTAAACAAGAAACAACATTGTGATATAAGACGACTGCAGCATCCAAGGTACTTCTACCATGTTTGCATGCAAATTGTTTAGGATCATTAAAAGGTTTCAATGAAGGTTCAAGACGAAGTAAAAGTAATTTTTCCATCAATTTTAAAAAAGGAGAAGTAATTGCAATAGGCCGAAATTTAATATCAGTACCAGAAGATGGTTTTGGTATGGGGATAATTTTAATGTTTTTCCATGCAAAAGGTAGAACGTTACCGGAAAAAGAGGCATTAAAATGTTAGTAAGAGGATAACACAAAATATCAGCACAATTCCTGAGGACAATGGCAGGTATGTCGTCAGGACCAAGGCTTTGAGAAGGCTTAAGAAACCGGAGACATTTAAGCACATCAAGGGTATTAAAACCACTAAAATTATTGTCAGTATGATTTGTATCATTAGGAAGGATATCAACAGAAGAGCGTATGAAAGACTTATTAAGAGTGTCGACATTAAGAGATGGTTTAAGAGTAACAAAATGGCAAAAATTATGCACACTAAGAATATGGCAAAACAGAAAACCATGCGATGCAGATGCTTACCAAAATTACTGCAGGTTGTACGATGAGAAAGCACAAGAATGAGTTCGAAATGTCTATAATATATATAGATCCGATAAAGTTAGACCTTTATTAATCAATCAAGTGTAATGATGCTTCGGTGAGAACAAGTTGTTGTTGGGGTCAAGAAGTTATCTTCGGGCTCACCAATTTGTTGCGTGCGTCATTTGACTAAATCAGCGTACACGTATTTCCTAGAACTTCTTCACTTTTGTTAATGTGCGTAGGCGTTGTGGCTACTCGACTCCCATAACGTAAAACCAAAAGGCACTTGCAAAGAGTACGATCGTGTATTATAGCCGTAGTCAAATTTCAAAATGGTGTCAAGATAATGTTCAACAGTAAATTGACAAATGTTTTCGAAGTACATATGAAATCGGTCTGTCTACACATACAATACAAGGATACAAATTAGATTAAAAAGCATGTTTACAGTTGGTATAGGGGTACTACAATACGATCAACACCATCTAAAAAATTAAATATTATCAACTCTATTTACACACCACATTCTACGAACAACACATAATTCATTCCGGGACCACTCTTTTTGGAATCAGTCAAAGTTACGACAGTCGAGTGGCGGGATGAGGTACGCAGAAGTTTACCGAAGACCAGGAACCTTCACCTCACACTCAAGAAGCGGGCATAAAGAAACCAAATTGGTTCATTCTGGCGCGAAAAGACGATACTGGATATTGAATGCCAACAAAATTGAAAACTAGACAAACTATTAAGGCTTCAGCAGAATTTATGTAAGTTTGTAGAAATTTTCGAATGGTAGATGGTTTCTTGTCGAAACATTCCATTGGACATTGAATGTTGGTTGTCATGTAATGCATAAGCTGAGACTTTTTGAATTCTCTCAATTTTGGAAAATTTACACGAGAGGGGACCATCATTTATCATTCTATTATTATTTTGATAATTTTGTCGAAAAATTCACTTTAGAAGTGAAAATTGTGTAATATTAATCATATAAACAAGCAGCTTAGCGCTGTTTATTAGCAGTATATTAGCATTAATATATAACATTTTTTCCGCTGAAGATGGACATAGTTGTCATAATTGAACTTCTGTTTTCAAAACCTTCAGTATAACCCTAAATATGTTCAATTATGATGCAAATGTGTTGCGCATTCAGGTTATGCATTTGATTCGATAAAACCAAATGATGTTCATGCTTAATTTGAAATTTCATGCTTCATAAGATACTCATATTTGTGACTCGATTCAGTGTTTTTGTAATCTGGGGTATTAGGACCTAGGTTTTATTATTAGGAAAACTAACTTAATGTACATATTCAGAAACAACACAATATCTAACCCAACAACCGGGTACAATTTGTAGTTTGAGATGTGCTGGTTCATTTTATCATTTCGAGATATAAGTAGACAGGAAGGAAAGAGCATTTTGAAGACTATGACTAAAGTATCAAAAAGTCAGAACACAACTATCAGATGAAATAAATTGAGTACTTGGGTGCAGTAATGATATTACTGGCACATTGAAAAGCTGACCCACAATATCTTCGGTCATACTGCAGCATTATATCACTGAAATTTATTGGAGTATTGACCATTAAGGGAATAGTGATTGCTGTCTTCAAATTAGAACCTGTGTAGCCACTTTGAATGTATAATTATGATTACTGTTTTATATGACTGATAGATGATGGCAGTTCAAAAAAATTTTCTTTTCATTTTTACACAGGAAGATAGCAGACCCTTTTGAACATCACTTGTAATAAAGAAATTACTACAGGGTCTTATGGAAAGTTTTGATGAAGTCACCGTCACAAAGCTGCATATGGTTTGCGTGTTCCTCATAATTTATTCTGTCGTTGCTGCTTTTCCAATGTAACTGGTAAGACCCGCAGTAAATATAGATTTTGCCTAAAGTTCTTATCAGTGCATTAGAATTTTTATGTCAACGTTTTTTTATGATCAGTGCAATAAGATAAAACTGCAAAATGAGTTCATCGTCTCTCTGTGCATATTATTTTGTTACATTGACGTGGTTTTCTGACAAATACCTCTGTCTTTTACTTGTAGAAATAAGGATTTTCGGCAATCGTTGCATACTGCATTTTTTGACTGTATCTTCGGCTCCATTTAGGAGCTTTTAGGAACCTATGTCTCATCTAGTTTTCATGCTTATCTATGAATTTGCTATAAGGACGCTGAACGAAGTTGCCGCGGCTTAGTTTGTCTCAGGAAGACTTATGAAAGCATGAACTTTTGCAATGGTCAGTTTAAAAAATTGGTTGACCAAGTTTTTCGGTTTCCATAGTTCATTATGATATACTGTTTATTCCTGAGATAACATTGAATCTGGATCACTTACGCTTCCTCGTGTATGTAGCAAAGTCTTTTGTGAAGGATTCTTCATTATGAATAATCCGGGATTTTATGACAAATATTGATGAGATGCTTCACTATTACACTTCTAAAGAGCCATTACCATCTCTTTATAACTCGGCTGGATGATATTCGCCAAATCGGTTTTAGGAGACACTGGTAAAACTATTCTTATATCGGGTCTTAAAGAAACGGGTGAGAGGCCTTACATACCGTAACGTTGTCATATGTGGGAGATTTGAATTCAGGTTGGCGAAAAGTAATGAGCGGTTAGAAGCTGCTACTTTCACTGTAGATTTACACTGGAGATATTGGTTTACATTCACTGTCTTCTTAAGGATTGAAACGGAAATCTCTCTTTATGGATTTAGTTTTCTGTTTCTCATCACAAATTTTTCTGGATAGCCATTTTTAACTAGGATCTTTTGTTTCAAAAGCATGAGACCTTTCCGTGATATGTCACCAGATACAATTTACTCCAGAACATTTGAAGAGTTAGGCAATATGAGATCTGCTGTGACTAATAGGTATGGAGCTGTAAAAATTAGTTATCTTTTCATTAGCAATAGTATGTGTTCGAAACGTCATCAGTTATTATTACTGTATAACACTGTGCGATTTATCAAAGTAAAATCTTATCTATAGTGAAGTTATACTCTATCATAGTGCCCAAGTTTTATACTTTTTGGGGAGAAATGTTTCTAATTATCTGTCTTCTCTTTTAGTGGATTCTACGACCCAAAAAACAACATTATTTTAATCATTTTGGCTTCATCCGTGATTTTTAAAAGAATAATAAATGCTTTTAAATATTTCTTGTACTCAATTTTAATCGCACTTATAACGATAAATTATAAACTGTCATCTATATGCTCGTTTTACATTAGACATTTAGCGATTATTAGATTCAGATGACACAAAACAATATTTTGACAGCAAAATCCAGTATGAAACGTGTGGCTATCTTATCTTTCCATCGGAAGACATTATTTTTGAAGGTGAATTGTACATTTAATGTTGATCTTAGCATCACTTATTGTAGATATGAGGTTGTTATACCAACACTCATGTTATTTTCATCTGTAAGTCTTCATGAAAAACAGACTATCTATGAAAATTAGGGATTCCATATTAAGTGATGACGTTTTTTCCAGATATACTAAAATCCCTACTGAAATGAAGAAGTTCAAACATATTATGAAGAGGATAACTGAATGATCTTACAAAATGATTAACAATTTCAGAAATATTCATTTTGGGATTCATAGGTAGGGTAATTCTGACACGTATTTACAGTTGGACAAAGACGTGAGCAATCTTTAAGTGCTTTTGGCAGGACATAAAGTTGACAGACTGGAAGTCATGTTCATCTCTGAGACAATAATAAAAATCTTCACTGTTCAGACTCCCTAGGGATATATGTTAGCCTCTGTTTGATTAATACAAACAACATTTATAAATTTTAGATTTTTGCTCCCTATTGTGGTTACTTTGTGTTCTTCAACGCTCCTGTGATTTTTCACTCCATGCTTAAAGTATTATCTCCTTTCAGCTTAACCCCTATCACTATGTTCAATAGTTATAATAATAAAAATAACAGTCATTAAGAAAATAAAAGACTGTTTAGAGGAAAAAAATTATATTTTTTGCTGATGTCACCTTTAATGGTTGTATTTATTCTTTAGGTGTTGGTGTGCAGAGGATTTGATTGGTTAAATGGTGTTGTCATGAGCTGACATCATTTCAAAAAATATTGGAAAACCAGATGACAGTACTAAACAGCTGTTTGGTATTAGTTTAATACTCTTCATCAGTACTTACCCAGTGGTATTCGAATCCAGGTTTTTCAGTGGTTCTCTAAATAATGTCAGCTCATGATGAAATCCTGTAGCCAGTTAAATCCTCGCAAACCAACACTTGGATATCAGTCTGATGCTCACCAGCGACTGGTCCTTTTCAGATAGGTAGTTACCTCGGTTCCACAAGGGAAGTCGTGACAAGTGATTGGGGTGCTGCAAGTCGGGTTTGAGGACAAATACTCGCCAACGATGACATTGGCTGGTGCCAGTCGTTCTGTATTGTGAACCTGGAAGAAGTCAGAATTCGTAGGCTGGCCATTGGATCGGGTCCCAGGGGTTGAGTGATCTACAAGCTCACTTTTTAAATGGTAGATACTGGGTTCAAACCTTGGTGGCGGGTGCGTACTGATGAAGAGTTACAAACTTGACTGACGAAAAAGATGTACAGTATATCCAGATGGTTGTCTAATGGATACCAGACCATGATGAAATCCGGTATTTATATTTTCCAGAAAAGTAAAGTAGTCTCTATTAGGTGTATTTAAGTCACACAATTGACACCATAACTCCAAAGTATTTTAAACGAAATTTGGTAGAGTATAAATTGTTATTCCATGAGAAGCAAGACGCCTGAGTGACGAGTGTGAAGAAGGCGAGATAAAGGAAGACCCTAGTAAAATGTACAAAAGGAACAATTAAGCGTGACAACTGTGAACTATTAACTATTAAAAACAGAAGCGAACTAGTGGGAAATAGTTTTACCACTACTGACGGGCCACTTAGTATCATGATGGTCACATGACTGACTGACTGACTGACTGGTTTCAACATACAACTTTACATCGATGTGCAGCAGTTCCAATCGCCACACTCCCTTCATGTAGCACAAAAAGCCAGAGAAGAAGAAGAAGAAAGTAAAAAGAAACGCAAAACAGAGGCAGTAAGTAGAGATATGAGGCAAAAACAATAGTAATATCGAAAAACAATACGGTTTCATTGGAAATTATAAGCCACATCTGCGCTGTTCATTGAGAACGAGGGCCATATCACTAATTGTCTCCAACCGCCATTGGTTCTTACCATCCCGAGAACCCTAACCAACCAGTCAAGAGGTCTACACTTTCCTACGTGACTGACTGGCTAGCTGGCTTAAACTGTTGTGGATTTCATTGATTGGTGAAGCCATGTTGGTTTTGATTTGACCACCGCTGGCTCTTTTCAAACCTTACCCTAAGTCAGCTAACATTTCCCGTCGGTCGAGGAAGGCGATGGCTAGGCATATGTAACGTATTGCCACTTTTCAAACTCGACTGACAGAATTCAGTCTGCATCAACACAAAGGACTAGACACATTTCCACTAGGTATTGACTGTTTTCCAGACAAGAAAAGTTTATGACTATGGTCGTATAAGACAAAATGAACACACCGAGTTCAGGGTTATACTGAGGAATCACTAGCGCCACTAGTATACACAAGTGGTCAAACTTAACAACCTTTGTACCAATAATTCTTAACTTGTAGATAATTTTAAAAGGCGATTTTGACAGTGGAGCTGCCTAGCCACAATTCGTCAGGTGTTTGAGGGTTGAGCTGTTAATCATTATGTTACATTGTCTAGCTGATTTTTATCGATAAAGGAAATTTTCCCGGCTAAATGTTCCTTCACTTTCTTTATATTATATGATATGATTATTACTCCCTTGCGTTCCTAGTTGAGCGTAAGGCTTCAACACCACATCTCCACTTTGTTCTGTTTTCTACCATCCTCCTCAGCTGAGTCTTCGATTGATCAAACTCCGTCATCTCTTCCTCACACGATCTCCTCCATGTCACCCTCGCACCAACGACACACTCGTCGCTTCCCATTGGGATTCCTTTCGAGCGATGGCCTGGCGTGTGATGTCATTCGGCGACCTTTTCAGTGTATGCCTGATCTATTTCCATTTTCTTCTACATATTTGCTGAGCGATCGGCTCTCGCCTGTTGGTTTGTTTCCATAGTTTCTTGTTGTTTATTCCTTCTGGCCATTTGATCTTCAGTATGGAGCAAAAGGCAGCTGTTGATGAAAGTCTGCAAACCTGTTGGAAATCCCTTTCGTGAAACACAGGCTAAGTTTCTGATCCTTATTGAACAGCTGACCGACTTGACATTTGTATTGTAAATGCGAATCTTGTTCTTTATACTGAGTGGGAAAGATTTTTAAGTTGGTTTCAGGTTGATGAAGGTGTATCTTTGTTATAACTGTAGGGAATTCAAGGAAGACGTTTTCACCTTGCTCTGTCTGCGCCTGAACTAATCTGCCTATCTGCTTGTCGTACCTTCCGATTAAGTAAAGCACGCAAATATCAAAAGACAAAGGCTGGACTGTGACTGTGTATTGAAGTGCAACAACGACAAAGAAAGCCATGGTATTTATACATTTTACAACAATATGGACAGCTAACAGCATTTGAAATAATTTATCTTAATAGCCAATAACAAAGTGCGTGAGAGATGATAATATACCATATGTGTGAGGTTGACAGTCAATAACAAAATGTGTGGGAATGATAATATACCATATATACAAGATTAGCAGTCAATACCAAAATGTGTGAGAATGATAATATACCATATATACAAGATTAACAGTAAATACCAAAATGTGTGAGAATGATAACATACCATATATGCAAGATTAAACAGTCAATACCAAAATATGTGTGA